ACGCTGTCGATACCTCGAGCGAGCTCAAGCAGTGAAGACGAGCTTGCGCTCTGAGACTATGCCGAGCGGCCGTTTACGAACTCAGCCGTGTAGCGGTGGGAATGCCGTCTTGTTGCCGTGAGTTTTAGCGACCAGATCGAATGTCCACCGATCCCCGATCTACGACCTCTTGCCCTGGCTCCCCATTGTCCCTCTCGTTCCCCCCGCCAATCGCTCCCGTATGCTCGCTCGCGGAATGTCGCGTGAAAAAATACAACACAACCCTCAACCTTCTGTTCAGAGTCTCGTTCTTGGAAGGTTGGAATCATGCATCATCAACTCCGGACGCTCCCAGCCCTCACACACGCGTAAATCCCAGCCCATTGTGATCAATACGTCCACTAGCTTGTCCCTTTGTCCTCTCCCGTGCCTCGCTCCCTGCCACTACATAAAGACCCTCGCGCTCCCCTTCTGCGTTCTCTCCATAGCAACTCTTTCCTTGTTTGCTACCCCTCCGAAGCCAGCCTCCGCTGTAGCAGCTGCCTCCGCCTCTCTTCGACCTTCTTTGCTGTCTTTACTAGCTCTCCGGATCCTCACCTCACGCGTTACTTATCTTTATCACCTGAAAGAAATCCAACATGCGCGCTACTACCGTCTTCGTTGCCCTCGCCGCCGCTGCTTCCGTCTCCGCCGGCAACATCTTCCGCAGGCAATACCCTGGTCAGTCCTTCCCCCCTCCCACTCCTCCTTCGCGTTCGCTGACCGACGGTGTTTTGATGGGATGTGTAGATTGCGCGACACCATGCATCCAGAACGCGCAAACGGGGAACTGCTTCTCGGACGACCTGAACTGCCTGTGCAAATCCCAGGACTTCATCTCCTCCACTACCTCGTGCATCATCGCGAGCTGTAGCGCGAGCGACGCTGTCAAGGCTGAGGCTGTTGCGCAGGGGTTTTGTGAGACTGTCGTACGTGTCTTTTCTTAGTTTCTTATTGTCTTTGCTTTGTTGCTTCCTTAAAGGGAGGCTTGGGTTGGATGTATGGAATGAGTGCTGATTGTGGCTTTGCTTTTTGTGTAGGGTGTTACGTTGACGTCGCAGCCATCGAACCAACCTACCGGCGCACCGAGCAACACCGACTCCAACACTGCTGCTTCGAACACCAACACCGCTGCTTCGAGCTCCTCAAGCCCGAGCCCGACGTCCTCCTCCGCCACTCCCAGCGACACCGCTGCTGCTGCTCCCTCTCCGTAAGTCCCATTCAGCACTCGCACCTACACACGTCTTAAGAACACACTCTGATCTTGGCGTTGCATAGACCGGCTCAACAGCAAGGCAGCGGCGCGATGAGGACGAGCCACGGTGTCAACGCTGTCCTCGCTCTGGGCGTGGTCGGGGCTGGAGCTCTCCTCCTTTGAGCGTGGAACCCTCACCACCGTACCACCCTACCAACACGAACCTCCGACCTCATTATTCCTTGTCACGTCTTGCTACATCATCGCGCAATCTCATTGGTTTCTTGGGTCCTCCGCAATCGCTCTGATCTGGTCTGGTCTGGTCTGAACTGTTCTTCGCATTTGCTTTTCGATGAAGTATTGTATCCTTCCTTTCATTCGTATTACTACCTCCCTTTTTGCTGGGCCGTATACATCTACATTTTGTAGCGCTATGCCACGCTGTGACCCACCCCTTCCCTAGAGGAACGTCGGGGGTCCCGCTTGGCTCGAGCCTTGGCCTTTGGGTGTACCGGTTCGCTTTCGTGCTTACGACTTCTTGTTTGCTTCTTTTCGAACGGGACGGGTTTTGTCGGTATATTAGTTTATTGCATATATCATTCGCTGGTCCCTCCGATAAACTCCAGCTCATCAGCCTCATCCTACACCACGAGTGCGATTGTTGACCTTGGTGTGCATGTACGTGTACGATCTGCGACATTGTACGTTGTGTAGGAACGAAGCCGGCTGTGGCGAGCGCGGCATCAACGCCGACCGCGAACGGTGATTGCGAGCTTGAGGATTAGAATTTGGATCTCTTGGGATTCAACGCGAACATCGAACATCTCAGGTGCAAACAAGTTCTGTACGTATGTTCTGATATGTACATACAGTATGTGTGCATGATCATAGGGTCGAAGTTTGAACCTAAAATGACGAAGATCGACAGAGTTAGGTTGCCGCATAACGTCTGTTCGAAGCAGGTGTGGCGTATCGTACGCAGTATCCGTGTTCAACATTGGAAGACTTTTAGATTGGACATACAACGAACACGTATGTTCTGACCGCAAAAACTCACAGCATCACTAACAGAAGATGACGAAGATCTGCAAGGTCGCCGTCTCACGTACGCGTACGTTACCGTTTGGGCAGGTGTGGCGTAACGCAGTGTTGACATGGGGAACATTTATGGCATTGAGCATGAGCGTTGTGGCGCCACAACGCAGATCTCGAACTCTGAGCTCGGGCGTAACGCAAGTTTATGGCACCAGAAGCGTTGTGGCGACACACGTGTCTACGCAACCCACCTTCCCTGCATCCCTGCATCTCTTCAAGAATCAAGTTCTTCCATTCATTCTGAATCCGAATCCCTTGTGCACACGAGTAGGATCCTCGGGACAAACTCGGCTGTTCAGTCGGTGTCTAGACAACGTTCAGGTCCCATGCTAGCGTTCAGATGCATATGTGCATGCGGGTTCTTGGCGTTAGGGAGGAGAGGTGAGAGTACAACGATGGACTTATATATGCTACATACACACATGTACATGTACACGTGCGGGGGTTTATCTTCAACATTCTGCTTTGGATCGATGATGGATGGGTGATGGAGGGAGTGAAAGTAAAACATGACGAGGGATCCGAGAAGAACAAGCAACGAGTTGGTTGGAATGGTGCGGACGCAGGTAGAGTATTGTGACGGTGAATCAGCTCAGCCCATGACGCTCATAACCGCTTCGTGCCCAGACTGGTGGTACGCTGCGGGCATGCCTGGATGGGCCCCGGAGCGGGAGGCTTTGACGACCAGGTCGGCTTGTTGCCTGGCCATGCAACGGGACGATAAGTCAGTCCGGGTACATGATGCAAAATAGGTGAGAGTGGAAGCGGGACGTACAGCTTCATGCGTAAAAGCAGCTTGCGGTTCGTCGATTGCATGTCTGCGCCGGACTTGATCGCGCGTTGGAAGAGGGCAGCTCGTTGGTCTGTTACGCGTGCGCGCAGAATCTACCACACCCCAAGCCCCCAAGCCAAACCCATCAGTCTCATCCACTCCAACAAGAGAACACGAAAAGAAACGCACCTTATTCTGCCTATCCACCCTCGCCTGAATACTCCCCTTCTTGATCAACGTCACCACCTGCTCCTCCAGGTACTCCATCGTCCACCCGAACGCGCCAGCCATGCGTTCGAGGTTGATGGAGGCGAAGGGCTGGAAGTAGAGGATGAGCGCGAGCTCGCGGATGCTGTTCACGAGGTGGGTGACGTGTGGCGCGAGGACGATGTCGAGGTAGTGTCTTGTCTGTCGGATCGTATTGAGCAGTCAGTAAAAGTGAAGAGACTGAAGAGCTGGAGGTCAGGGAAAACGTACGGAATAACGTTCGAGGACCTCGAGGACGGTCTTGAACCTGCTGCCCATGTAGGCGTCGATGAGCTCGCGGATGTAGGGTTCTTGCTCGATGTACACGCCGAAGTTGTCGTTGTCGAGGAGTTGTGCTTGGATCGCGGGACGAGGGTACGTCGCCAACGCACACAGCGTGCCGTAGATCGCGATATCAGAAGGCGCGATGTACTACCCAAGTAAACTCAGCGCCACCGAACAGAGAACATGCAGAACCGCACTCACCAAGCCCGCCCACTGCTCCAAATTCGACATCGCCCCGACCTTCAAGAACGCCTGCGCCGCCTTCTCATACTGGCCCTGAGAGAAGTACGACATGGCCAACGCCACGTCGAGCTTCGTCTGTGTGCGGTCGCGCTCCGACATCGCCTTCTCCTTCGCTGCGGGCTTTGCGTTCGGGTTGCTCGCGGTGTTCTGTTGGTTGTTGGCGGCGGCGACGCGGGAGCCGGTGATGGCTTCGAGCGCGGCTTCGGCTTTGAAGACGTAGGTGGGGATGTGTGGGTAGTTGCGTTGTTCCATTAGGAGCTAGGAACGCGGGAGGTTATGATAGGAATTTTGAGTGGGGTAAAGGTACGAGCTGAAGCTTACCTCGACGATGGATGTTGTCATGTCTAGAATGTGTTGACTGGTTGTGCAGTACTCTCGGGACTTGGTGTAGTTCTTCAGTGCGATATTGTACTCTCCAATCGAGCGATAGAACAGCGCGAGGTCTCGATATCCCATCTACATCCATAACAACCCGTACATCAGCACCTCAACCACATACAACTCATACCAAGCAGTAACACGCACCCGAATGCTCTCTTTGATCATATTACTCGAATACGTCTTCAACTCCACCTCCAGCTTCGTCCTGTCCGCGACATTCTTCGCATTCGTCTTCTCCACCCACGTCGCGTCGACCGCAGCGACCTCAGTGTGCGGCGGCAAGTCCTCCTTTTGCTTCTGCGCCACCGCGTACGCGTCCACCGCGCGCTGGTATAGCGTCGTATCGCGCAGCTGCTGCATCTGCGTGATCGCCAGGGCGAATGCCTGAGGCGCGAGGGTAGGGCATTGGGCTATCAGGTAGATGAGGCGGTCGACCGCGGTTCGACCTAGAGGTCGATGGGTGAGAGACGGTAAAGGGCTAAGAGAGGAGGTGCGTACCTGTGTAGGATGAGATGTACGCCTCGAGGTCGAAAGGGTGGGCATCGTCTATTGGGAGGATGGCTGGTCGTTTGCCGGCGGATTTCTGGCTCTGAGGGTTCACCTCGGTCTCGTCGATGAGATCAACGTCCATGGTAGCGATATGGATTCGCGTGAGTGGATGGCAGGAGTGGAAGGTGTGCAGTGGCTAATACAGCAGCTCCTGGACAAGTAGATCGATTTAGGCATGGGTACAGTTATGGTTATTAAAGTGGAGCTCCAACACATGGGCATTTGGCACAGTGGTAGCGCGCACGCTTCGCATTTGCTTCAGTGCCTGCGTGAGGTCCAGGGTTCGACTCCCTGAATGTCCAGTAATTGTGGTGGTAATCCGTTTGATACCAACGACTCACTCTTTTTACAACTATTTGCGTATACGATCGCAGTCCCGCCTCGAGAAAGAGAGAGAACAAATACTTCGCGAATAGAGGGTTGGACGAAGGGGAAACGCGTGTTGTGATACTCATACAGGCGATTTGCTGCCTCTCACCAAGTCCTTTCGTCTCTTCTTCTCGTCTTTTCGCTTTCACCGCGGCCCATCAGTAATGCCATTAGTTTTGCAAACAGCTGTAACTGAGCTTCCCCCCGGAAACTGGCAGAAAATTCTTCGAAACATGACTATTGGACCAAGGTCATCTAGACGTTCATACGTGCACTGCTTGGTGTGTAGTGGCAAACTCGTACACTTTGCTCCAATCGCGACACACATGCCTGACCCCCACTCCTTCTCCCACATCTCGCGATCCTTCCACCGGCACTTCCGGTTCCAACGTCACGTCCGCTGCGCACAAGATAGTCTGGCGGAGATAATCCAGACAATGTGCCGCATGCACCGACGGGTCTTCACTAGAGTGGTTGGTGCTCGCGTGATGGCCCCGACCTAGAATGGCCTTTCGAAGGGAATCGAGGCAGTGGAATTGGTGGAACATCGATAGACCGAAGAATCGCTTGTGGGGGCCGAGATGGACGAATCCAAGCTGGGTACCTGGGTACAGAGACTGATACTCTGCGTCTGCCTCGGGGGAGTCGAGTGCATAGTGGACGGAATTTTGAAGAGTAAGCTCGACAGGGGAGCCGAATTGCAGTGGGAGATAAGGCGGGAAGTCGTCGCCCTCCCAAGCTGATCCGGTGAATGAAGAGTCAGAGTCGGAAGAGCGGAGATGAGTTGCAAGCTACTCACTGTATGCATCGGAGTCGAGGCTGGGTAGATGAACAGCAGCGGTATCCTCGCAGGGCCGCTTCCTGCTTGCCTTCATCCAAAAGACAACCTGGACGATGTTGCAGAGTAAGACGACCGTACATGCCAGCCCCAGGCCGCTGATGGGGAAGGAGCGACGACGCTTGGATTTGAGAGGCTTCATGCTACCTTTCCGGCAGCGATGGTTGCGGGGCAAGGTCCATAACTGCAAAGGCTCGACCGAGCAGCGTTAAATATAACACCGTGGACAGCTGAGCGACGTGGACCATGCTGTTTCAGCATCAGATCGGTGTGGTTTCAAGTCACAAGCTAGGGACACACCATTTAGACTTCTTGATCGTGAATCATCGAAACCTGCGAAGCTTTCGTAAGTGATCAGGACCCACTGAGATCCATATGTACTATACTGCACGCATGATGGTGTGGATTCAAGAAGTTGGGATCTCGAAGACGAGCCGAACGCTGAGCGCTTCTTCGAACCTCCGCTTTAATTTGGCCTTCCGTCGAATTTGAGAGACGAAGACTGACAACGAAGATGACGACCACAAACCCCGTTGAATACTATACTTACTACAGGACATGGACAAAGGTAAACGTGTTCCGTACTAACATCTGAGATAACTATACAATAAATACTTGACATTCAGGTCTCTCCGAGTCATTGCGCACTGGAGCACCACTACAAGTTATAACCTCGCATACTGAGAAACTTCTCCAGCTTCGGTGTCCGTCGTACTCTTCTCGTCAATCTTAGCAGCAGAAATGAAACCCGACCTCCTCCATGACTCCATCCAGCGATCAGCAAGCACTTCCGTGAGCGGCATGTCGAGTAGTGATGGTGCCACTCGTACCGACTTGGCAGTATCAAGCCTGACCACACCAAGAGGTTCCATCTCGTCGGTTAGCTTCAGAGCACGGTAGTAATCCAGTAGACGCAAGGCGGGGTTGCGTTTGAGATGCTCGACCTCCGACAGAGAGGTATCGCGCAAGCACTCTCCCAACCGGTAGAGCCACTCGTCGTAAGGCACCAACGTGGCGTTCATGGCCTTTGCGAGCGGGGTCAAGAACGTCTTCCATGGGACGGGGTTGGGGTTGACGAGGTGCAGAATAGGCTCGTCGGAATCTCGCATGGCGATGATCGCTTTCGCGCCTTCATAGGATGGGATCCAAGAGACAAGGCCAGGCTATCGAACATAATCAATCAGATTAGGTACCAGACAGCAGTCATGAGACCACGTACCTCGGGGACATCTGGAAGGCGCCCTACATACAGAGCTGACTTGACAATGGAAGGGAACCATTCCTTCTCATTCCAATGTCCATTTCTGTCTCCACACAGTTGGCCAATCCTCACGCACACGGAACGAAGTCCTGTCTTCTCTGATGCTGCGGCGAGAGTCTGTTCTGCGACCCATTTAGACTCTGCGTAACCACTGCCTACCACGATGGCTGGGTCATGGACAGGCTCTTCCTTCCTGGGTGCGAAGTTCTCAGGCTCTGCTATAGAATAAGCTTCTTCGTCCGCGAAAGGAAGTGGAATACTTACGCCTGAATATGCCTACTGAGCTCACGAAGAGGATCTGAGGAGGCGCTGTGAATGGAGAAGACAGCGCGAATGAGATGAGACCTCGGACGCCTTGCAGGCTCTTCTCGAAGGATTTGAGAGTGAGATTGAAATCCACTGGCCAAGCTACGTAAAGCACATTAGCTCATGAGGCTCAAATGACAAATGCTTGCTCTACTCACCGTTGTGGATGATGTGGGTGACAGAAGTGCGAAGCTAAAGAATGAATTTTAGCACAGGTTCAAGCTGCACAGCCATAGTAAAACGCACATCCTCATACACGGCGGGGTTCAATCCGAAGAAGGGTCGACTGAGATCACCCTCGACCATCTCAAACTTGGATGCACGTAAGCAATCCTCGAGAAGCCCTTGCTTTTGCATTGCGTACAACTGCCTTGGAATAATGTCATCCGACGGTCGGTTGAACGCATACACCTTCTTGACCGCTGGATCATGCGAAAGCTGCGCGAGGATATTGCAGCCGAACCCGCCTGTGGTACCAGTCACGAAGATGACATCGCCGTCGGTGGGACGCGGGTACAAGGTTGTGGGTCGTGGCGGGAATTCAGATGTAAAGCGAGCGACTGTGGCTTGCAGCTCCGCAATATGAGAGTCTGCTGGTCTGTCAGTGGTGGCATGGACTGTCTGTAAGAGTAATCGTGCCATGCTGTCGATGGTGGGCGCGCGGAATACGAAGTTGGACGGGAGACGCTCCGCTGCTTTAGCGTCAGAAGACCGTACAGCACGGAGGACCTTGTTGCGGATCCACGTCGCTTGGAGACTAGCGGATGAAGGTAGAGGTAAGCGACGCAGAAGGCGAGGTAGACAGAGAAACTCACCTGTCAGCACCAAAATGGAAGATGTCATCATGGTCACCGACGGGATTGCTCATAATGCCATGTACTACTTCGCGAATGAACTGGAGCGCCTCTGGTTCTGTCCACGTTCCGACAGCGGGCTGTCCGGTTTGGGAGGCTTGTTCGACGGCGTCATAGATGGCGTCGATCTCAGCCTCATAGCTGTTGATTATAGCTTGTCGCCGCGGCGTTCCCTTAGCGGTGTAAGTGAACGGTTTGCTCGGCGAGGCGACCAGGATCATCTATACGCAGGGTTAAGGGTAAGCTTCATCAGATAGGTGAGATGAATAAGAAACGTGCCTCTTTGAAGAGTCTCGAGTGTTGAGGCGCAAAATCGTTCATCCGCTCAACGGTCGGCCTGCAACCATACTTGTCAGGTGTCTCGTTGGTTTTGAGACGATGCTGATATGTACTGACCAGATGTCATCCCTGAACTGCTCCACCTTCGCCTTATCTTCCGGGTCAAATGCATACTGCGGTTCCGGTTCGACAACAACACCATTGTAAAATCTGCCACGGCCGAATATGATTGCACACTTGATGTGAGGATCGGCGTTCAACACTTTTTCTGCAAAGCTCTGTCAGCGTACTCAACGTGTGTTCGTGTACATATGGTCTTACCTAGAGGACCCGGGTTCGTCTATACAGATCGATGACGGATGGTCAGAGGGTATCTTCAAGTGTCTAAATGCATGAACATACCTTCTCGCCGGTTGAGAGCATGATTTGGTCATCGGCCCGTCCGTATATCTTCCAGAATCCTGGCTTAGTTGGGTGTGGTATAAATAGATCGCTTGTGGCGTATGCATCCTGCCCATTATGTTGATGGTTGATAATGCGCGGGGCCCAATCTTCTGTAGCCTGTAAGGGATGTGAGCATCCCGCAGGAGACGATCGACATCCTGCCACGTACCAGCAGAATCAGCTCAGACGTCCCATCTTCTCGAGGAACAAACACATGAGGTACGTCCTTGGAGATTTCCATGTAATCCCAATCCATGCCTGGGTCCTCTGTGGAGCAGACCTATCAGTGCATACGGCAGAGCGATTCATCCCGTGTCTCACATACCGGAAATGAAGACATTGATAACGGCTGATTCAGTCCTAAAACGCGACGTCAGAGAGGAACTGGAGTGGGGCATCGCAAGAGGACTTACAGCCCGAAGCACTGGTAGAGTTTCACACCCTGAGAGGTAAGCAAATCCCCAGCGTGTTTAGCAAGCGGCCCGCCGCCGAACATCTACGAGTTTATGAGAACGAAGCGGTTACACGGGGAGTCATTGAGACAACTCACGACACCTGACATAGTTTTCAAGTAGGCGATCTTTTGAGGCTCCACAGACCATTGCTAAGGATGATCTCAATAAAGACCGCGGTGGAGAAGACAGGCTCCATACCTCGATGAATGTGGGTACGCAAGACACTAGGTCACAGTTACAAGCCTTCATGGCATCGAAAAGAATATCCGCTGTGGGAAATGTAGCTGGGGACCTAGGTTTAAACACAGCCATAACATAGCCGCAAGACGGCTGTGAGTGCGTAAATAAAATGGTACTGTGCGGAAGATGATTTCTGAAGAGAGACGTACAACGTAGCAAATGGATAAGGAGCCCATCCCGTGGTACAGCGGCATGGAGTGGCAAGCCATGACTTTGCCTGTCAAGTCAACAGCTCCGTACCCTAGGAGCCGTGGCG